CCCCCGGTTCTAGTTCTATTCTGTGGTCGTGCGGTTGCTGAGGTGGCAGTCGTGTAGGCAGGTCATCCGGAAATATCTCCCTGTACTGCTTTAGGAGTGTTGCCAAGTCATTCGGTACGTCGGCAAGCAGTTTCTCTAAATCCCCTCCCTGGTCTGCTGCTTCGGCTTCCCGAATGTCAACCGCATACATGTCAGCTCCTGCCGTTACGGCAGGCTTCATTGTGATCGCGTTGACACGCACCGACGAAGACTCAGGCGAGCCCCAGCGAGGTAGGGCGATGTTGTTACCGTTCACTCGCACGGTGCAGTCACCCGTCGTCTAGTCGATTTGCGGATTGTGTCGTCGCAACCAATCCCGACCAAGTAAAACGTCGGTTCCGTCGAGGGTTGTCGCGAGCATTTCCTGGCTAAACATGAAGTTACCCCCGCATCGAATCCGAACCCGGTCTACGCGTTCCCGTATCGCCAGCGGCGTGCCGTCTACCAGTCTTGCGTCGATCTCAAGCTAACATCTGTCCAGTGGCTGTCGCAGTTTTCGTGCTTTGGTAGTATTGATAAGGCTGTGGCTGGCTCCCCCGTCTACGAAGATTTTTACTAAGTCCGTCCCAATTTTCCCACTAAGCAGTATGGGGCTGTCTACCGTAGTACCCTCCTTATTCGGCCGGGTGTGGTCGATTGCGTGAACCGGCACAATCACTCGGTGAGGGTCGGTTGGGTCGGGCGAGCGGCGTGACCTGTCAGTAGAGGGCCCGTCTGCTTCTGACTCCCAACGTTTCCCTGCTGCTTGGTCTGTTTCTGATGCTCAGCTTCCTCCTTTCCCTTAGTGTTTTACGGACATTCGTTCTTGCGATGTCCCGGCCAATTGCACGCAAAGCAGCGCCCTTTGAATGGTGCGGCAGCGGCATTTGCGGCGACGACACGTATCGTAGCGCTCTCGTTCGTCCCATGAGACTGATGTCCCCAATGGCTGCTTCCGTAGGACCCCAGTCTCAGTCGGCGGAAGAAATCAAGTTTCTCCGCCATAGCAAGAATTTCTTGAAAGTCGGTGACACCGCGAAGCTGGATTCCCTGAGCGATGTCCTGCTTCAGGCCGCCGATGTAGCGGTCGATGCGCTCGCTCTCGTGCATATATCCCACCTGCTCGCATAGCGCCAGAATTCCGCTCGTGTAGACTTGGACGGAACCGAGTTGGCGCCAAGTGCGGAGCTTCTGTCGCGCCGCGATCGAAGCCGCGATTGGCTCGAAACAAGTGCGCAGACCTGCGCACCACGCGTCCCACGTGCGATACTGGGGCACCTCCACGAAATACGACGGCGCCCAGGGTCCGGTTTGTCCTTCCCGTGTCGGTAGAGTCGCGTAGTCCATCGGCTTCGTGACGATGACGCGCCACCAATCCATGGCAGGTCCTCGCAACAGCGACACGGCGTAGCGGATTTTCGCCGTATCCTCCGAGACGTAGTTGGCGTCGAAAAATACTTTCATCGTGAACAACCACGCCTGAACGGTAGGACCACCCCTTTGACTGGGATCAAAGCATGGCTGACGCTGCGGCTTCAGCTGCATCGGTGACGGCAGTGCCGAATTGTCGGTTGGTGCCGAGATTGTGATGCGTGGCTGGCTTCGGGCCGTATTCGTCGCTTCGGGGTGTGTCGTGCCGTGGTCGTCGTCTCTGTCGGGGCGGACGACGCCATCACTGGCCGCGCTCGCGGGTTGCCCCACGCTTCCGTGTTGTGATGCTTGTGGTGCGAGCTGTTCCGGAGTGCCACGTGCTTGAGATTGTGCTCGTGTGAGGTCATTTTGCAGGGACGAGCGTTCTGCCGTCAGCGTCGCGATTTCCTCGGCGCTCTCGCGGATTTGTCGTAGCAGATCGTTCAAATGCTCCCGCGTGAGCGTCGTGATATCAATGTGTTCGGCCATTTCGAAGGACGTCGGCTCGTCTTAGTCTAGGCGCAGTCGTGGCTGCATGCATTTACGAGAGAACGCGAGGACTGCGGTTCCCAGGTGCTAAGGTGCGTGAGTCCATTCGAGTGAAAAATCAAAAGTTGGTTTCCTGGGGTGCGGAGATGCGCGGTCTGAAAAGGAAATAGGCTCTGATACCAAGTGTTACGGGTGCAATGGATCGAGGTAGCGAGGATTGCACTAAAGTGTCAAACGAGTACCAAGATGTGAGCGAAGGCATGAGCGAACATTTATAGGCGAAAAAATGTAAACGGTAACGCGGTGCGTGCGAGCTAGCTAGTGCTACGCTGGCAGCGAGGCTCGGGCTAGTCCCGAAGCGTAGGCCGACATGGCTGGGCCAGCAGTGTGAGGTTTGGCAAAACAGTGCGCGCGAGGTTGGCGAAGTCCCGTTTGTAGTAACGGGCGAACAACGGCTGTTGCTATATGCGATGTAGTTTGGGCTCCGTAAGGAATGCCGAGAAAATTCATTACACGTAGATACACTTCAGAAAAGCACCACCCTGTTGATAGCTACCGCATCTGGCTCCACCATCACAGCTCTGCTGGCACTTCGTTTTTAGGACGCGGCACCTCTAGCACCGAACCCGCGATCGATCCTGCGCAGGCTCGAATGTTTTAGGAGTTTCAAATGGTTTCAAAAGATTTGAATGCTTTTAGCAGGTTTTCAGTACGGTTGAATCAGCGAGCCAGCGATCGATCGTGCAACATTGCTTGAGGTGCCGCGTCCTTAGGCACGCGGCAGCCCACCACCACTTGCTCAGGGAATTTCGGCGGTGGAATTCACCCTCCTGCGCCAGGCGATGGAGAGGGCGAATGTGGTTCTGACGATAGGTGCTTGGTAAGGACATGCAGTGCAACTACCCTAGCTAGTGGACAGTACCCATGCTAGTGGACAGTCCTCGATATTATCCTTTCAGCCTATTTTTCGAATATTTACTCCTAGGACGCAACGCAGTGGTGCGCCGCGGTTCTGTTCAGCGCGTCTCGAAAGTAAAGGCAACCACGCGCCTCAACCGTACAGTATCGAGGCGCGCGAAATGGTGGCGGTGGTCCTGATTCCACCCGATCCGCCATCGCACTCCGCAGACATGGCGGAGACCCTACCTGCCTCGTACCAACAGCAATTTCAACGATATTACCTTACTATAAAACGCAGCCATGGCCAAACCATTCGTCACCAGCTCTCGCCTTCGCCTTTCCCCCTCACTGGAGTCATTTCTGAGGACCCACACAACTCACTTTAGCATATCCTCCACACTCTCCTCCGTTCGTTTCAGCCAGCAGTCTCCTCGGCTAGAAGTTCCGAATTGCCTTATAACGCGTATCATGGCTGTGGGTAAGCCGTCCTTCGCACTGCCGGTGCTCGTGCTGCTGCTGGCGGCGGCGTGCCTGGCGACGGCGCAGGTGACCAGTCCTCCCAAGGCGGAGGTGGTGGCGGAGCTGAAGGCGCTTAAGCGCGCACTCAGGCTGCGCCCCAAGTACGCGCTCATCCGCCGCGTCGCCACCGAGGTGCTCTCCCGCCAAGGTGAGACAGCCCCCCCCCCCCCCCCCCCCCCCCCCCCCCCCCCCCCCCTCCCTCTTCGCCCCCCCTCCCCCCGCGCGCGCGTGCTTTGCTTCGCCAGCCAGCAGTACTCGGCATTGAAAGCCATTAAATTTCATTTCCTCTTGTTCGTGCTAGACACGGCATCGCCTTACCAGCCGCCTTTTCAGTTTCTCCCCTTTAATCTATTTGATTTTGATTGTATTTCAATTTTACTAAATCTCGTTTTGTTTTCCCCGCTCGTCATCGCGCCGCAGACGAGTTCCCCGAGAACTTCGATTTCAGCGACGTGGTGAACAAGACGCTGCTGCTGCCCACCAACGGCGCCATCGTGGGCGCGGGCGTGCGCAAGCTGCCCACCAACGAGACCGACGGCGCGCAGTACGAGGACCTCGGCCTCATGAACGTGCTTGACGGGTACCTCACTATCGAGGATATCAAGGCCGGCGCGATTCTCAAGACGATGCACGACGACCGGGTTCTGGCGGTGAAGGAGGTGCGCGGGGCGGTTGTGGCGCTCGGGCAGGAGGGGCAGAAGCGGCGGCAGTGGTCGGTGGTGGTGGACGCGAATATCTTCAAGGGCAAGTTCGTCGTCGCACACGGCGTCAACCGCATGCAGCAGCCGTAGAAGCCGCTCGCGCTTTCGGCGCGCGCTCCTAGGTGACATTTGAATCGTCAGTCGCTACGCGTGCTTATCTTCGGCCGGCGATGGAAAGGCAAACGACTAATTCGCTGCTGGTTTGATGGATGTCATTTTTTACATCTGAACCAGCGCCGTGGGTCTGGTGCGGTTGCTGTTTCCTCCCGAGCGAGCATCTGTCAACGAGTGCTTTCTTTCTCTAGGTTTTCTCAGTTTTCTCGGTTGTCATCTTGCCAGCCATTTCACACCCCAGCTGCGTCTCCTTACCTAATGTCGTCCGTGCTGCCTCTTATCCAGAGCTTCGTCTGCGCTTGCTGGTAGTATCCGTGCTTGTTGCGACCAGCAAGTGGAGACGCAGTACTGGTGTGTGTGCTGCGGGGTAGATCTTGGGTATATGTCCGCGCTATCGTGTGACCTGCTCTTGTGGATATTTGTCTCTGTACGCTTTTGATGTTCATACAAATCATTGTTTTTTTTCTAAGAAGTACCAATGAACTTTGTGGATGTGGTGGCAAGCTTGATGATGGCAGAAACAATTATCAATTTCTGGCAACGTCAGTATATGCCGCTAGGAAATGTTGAAAGAATATGCACACTTTTGGGAGAAAGATGTCACTACTACACATTTTTCCCCCATGGTTCTGTGAGGGTCGAATATCATCAGGGCGTGTTCCTACTGCCTCTTATCACGGAGTCCTATTGTCAGACTCGCGTCTCACCGCTTTTGTAACGCACATATTCACATTCAATCACACTAAAAGGCGTTGAACCGCACAATTCTGACTAGAGGTGCATCTGATAAAGGGTGCAGGAACACGCCCTTATAGGTAGGTCGCGTCGCGGTCCATTGTAGCACAGCCCTCACTCCTCGTCCCGGTCTGGCGGCAGCCCACATGGCAGCAGCATGCGCTGTGATGGTGTGGAGAGGAGTGGAGTGGAGAGGAGTGGAGTGGAGTGGAGTGGAGAGGAGTGGAGTGGAGTGTAGTGGAGAGGAGTGGAGTGGAGGGGAGAGGAGTGGAGAGGAGTGGAGTGGGAGTGGAGTGGAGTGGAGAGGAGTGGAGTGGAGGGGAGAGGAGTGGAGAGGAGTGGAGTGGAGTGGAGAGGAGTGGAGTGGAGGGGATTGGAGGGGAGAGGGGTGGAGTGGAGGGGAAGGGGGAGTGGAGGAATAGAGTGGGTACAGGCAAGGGCACTGGTAGGGCACCTTCCAAACTACCTTTGACATGGAATTGACATTCCATGCCTTGCCATGCCATGCGGTGCTATGCTAAGCTATGAGGTGGGCCGGCTCTGAAAATGCACAAACCATGCAAGTCAAGGGCCATGCCACATGCCCTTAAAAAACAGGCTTTTCAACAGAATGTGGGCTTTGAAATTCCACAGAAGCTTTTCAACCCCACGTGCTGTCCTGCTGTCACACCCGCATACCAGCAGGCAAGGGGTATGCTAAAGCTGCTACCACACCAGCTACACCACGCCGCTTGAGAGTCACCTGCATGGAGTTGCAGAGCTCGCAGCCAATGCCACATTGTCAGCAACAGCACCTGCTACAGAGCTGCTACAGCACCTGCTACAGCACCTGCTACAGAGCTGCTACAGCACCTGCTACAGAACCTGCTACAACACCTGCTACAGCACCTGCTACAGCACCTGCTACAGAACCTGCTACAGCACCTGATAAAGCACCTGCTACAGCACCTGCTACAACCCAGCATTTCCCACGACACCAGCAACAGCGCCCCCCAATCACCTGCATGAAGTTGTAGCGCTCACATGCCATCATGCTACAGTGTCAGCAACAGCACCTGCTATCCCACCTGCATGAAGTTGTATCGCTCGCGGCCGATGCTCTCATTCTCCGCCACGGCAAAGAAGGCCAGCAGTGGGTGATGGCCCACGTAGGAGGCGTAGCTGTCCCTGTGGATGTTCACTGCCCACTCGCTGCATGCACAGAGGTGAGAGGGATGAGCGGGGGGGGGGGGTGGGAGAGGAGCATAGGGGGAGTGAGAGGCAAAGAAGGCCAGCAGCGGGTGGTGGCCCACGTAGGAGGCATAGCTGTCCCGATGGATGTTCACTGCCCACCCGCTGGGGCAACAGGGGAAAACAGAGGAGGGAGTGGGGGAGGGCATAGGCAGCTTGAGATGCAAAGAAGGCCAGCAGCGGGTGATGCCCCACGTAGGAGGCGTAGCTGTCGCGATGGATGTTCACTGCCCACTCGCTGCATGACGAGGGGACAGGGGAGAGAGAGCAGGATGAAGGTTCGAGTGGTGGGAGGATGAAAGGCCAGCAGCGGATGGTGCCCCACGTAGGAGGCGTAGCTGTCCCTGTGGATGCTCACTGCCCACTCGCTGGGGATGGGGGTGGAGGGGTTGAGGGAGAGGGGGAACAATGAGGGGCGAAGAAGGCCAGCAGCGGGTGATGTGGTGCCCCACGTAGGATGCATAGCGGTCCCTGTGGATGCATAGCGGTCCCTGTGGATGCATAGCGGTCCCTGTGGATGCATAGCGGTCCCTGTGGATGCATAGCGGTCCCTGTGGATGCATAGCGGTCCCTGTGGATGCATAGCGGTCCCTGTGGATGCATAGCGGTCCCTGTGGATGCATAGCGGTCCCTGTGGATGCTTAGCGGTCCCTGTGGATGCATAGCGGTCCCTGTGGATGCATAGCGGTCCCTGTGGATACATAGCGGTCCCTGTGGATGCATAGCGGTCCCTGTGGATGCATAGCGGTCCCTGTGGATGCATAGCGGTCCCTGTGGATGCATAGCGGTCCCTGTGGATGCATAGCGGTCCTTGTGGCCTCGATATAATCACATGCATTATGTTGGCACTCGTTAGAAGCGCACTCACTACTTGGTGGTGTCTGCATGTCCCGTGCCCACGTATCTCGCCTGCATGTGCTCCAACTGGCTGCTGATGTTGAACCGGTCGCTCGCCTGATGAGGGGCGAGGGGCGAGTTGTGAGATCAGGGGCGGAACACGGGGGAAGAGACAGTGGGTAAAGCTGCATGTGCTCCAATTGACTGCTCATGTTGAACCGATCGCTCGCCTGGTGAGATGAGAGAGGGGGGGAGGGGGGGTGTGGAAAGAGGCGGAAGACGGGGAAGGGAAGGACGAATGTGGGTGGGCAGGGCTGCACGTGCTGCACCTGACTGTTGATGCTGAACCGGCCGCTCACCTGTTCATGGGGGTGAGGGGAAGCGCGGAGGGTGAGGGGAAGGGCGGAGGGTGAGGGGAAGGGCGGAGGGTGAGGGGAAGGGCGGAGGGTGAGGGGAAGGGCGGAGGGTGAGAAGAAGGGCGGAGGGTGAGAGGAAGGGCGGAGGGTGAGGGGAAGGGCGGAGGGTGAGGGGAAGGGCGAAGGGTGAGGGGAAGGGCGGAGGGTGAGGGAAAGGGCGAAGAAGGGCGGAGATGAGGGGAAGGGCGGAGGGTGAGGGGAAGGGCGGAGGGTGAGGGGAAGGGCGGAGGGTGAGGGGAAGGGCGGAGGGTGACGGGAAGGGCGGAGGGTGAGGGGAAGGGCGGAGGGTGAGGGGAAGGGCGGAGGGTGAGGGGAAGGGCGGAGGGTGAGGGGAAGGGCGGAGGGTGAGAAGAAGGGTGGAGGGTGAGGGGAAGGGCGGAGGGTGAGGGGAAGGGCGAAGGGTGAGGGGAAGGGCGGAGGGTGAGGGGAAGGGAGAAGGGTGAGGGGAAGGGCGGAGATGAGGGGAAGGGCGGAGGGTGAGGGGAAGGGCGGAGGGTGAGGGGAAGGGCGGAGGGTGAGGGAAAGGGCGGAGGGTGAGGGGAAGGGCGGAGGGTGAGGGGAAGGGCGGAGGGTGAGGGGAAGGGCGGAGGGTGAGAAGAAGGGCGGAGGGTGAGAGGAAGGGCGGAGGGTGAGATAAAGGTCGGAGGGTGTGAGGAAGGGAGAGGGGTGAGAGGAAGGGCGGAGGGTGAGGGGAAGAAGCGGAAACGGGGAAAGAGGCGGAAAACGGGAAAACGGAAAACGGAAAACGGAAACGGGGTAAGCGGCGGCGGTGCGCGCGCAACGGGATTAATTGGCGAGTGAACGATGGTGACGCACGATGGTGACGCACGATGGACGGGCACAGGGGTGGGGGAAAACGGCGGAGGGACGAAGGGGAACGGCGGAAGGAAGAGAGGAAAGGGTGGAGAATCAAGGGATGCGTGGGAGGCGGCAACAAGAGCAGGGTTCGAAAGCGAGGCCTAGAGCATGAGAAGATGCATGGGTGACGGTGAGACGCGTGACTAAGGCGAGCGACACGTAGGACGGGACGCCGCATCATGTGTTTGAGCCGATTCGAAGCGCGTGGGACGCGCTGCAACGGACTAATGAAGGAACGAACCATGGCGAATGAGGGATTGCGCGCGGCTGACGGGCTGACGGGCTAACAGCTCACGGCTGACGGCTGACGGGCTAACGGCTGACGGCTGACGGGCTGACGGGCTGACGGGCTAACGGCTGACGGCTCACGGGCTCACGGCTCACGGCTCACGACTCGGTCGTTTATTGACGCTGATCGCGAAAACGAAATCAGAGGAGGCCCTGATAGGTGGAATAGATGAAAAGCTGTCTCGCAGCTCGTGAAAAACAAGGTGATGGCGGGTTCTCTGAAGAAGGTTGAGTCTGCACTCGTTATAAGATGTGTAACATCTAGGTGTACATGAAGTTCCTTAATTTCCTTGTTCTTATGGGACGGTTTGTTGTTAGTGTGCAATCACAGGCTCGTTGCACGTCACCACTTGCTAATCGTTTTTTTTTTTTAAAGCAACATATTTCCTCTTGATGCTATTGTTGCTCGTTATACCACCCTTCCTCTGCACTCTAGAACGCCTTATCATTCATTTCCTCTTCCAGTAACAGAATAACCCACACAGGCACAGTGCCAACTATACCTGATCAGACCTGACCGTTCAGTCCTTGGAATCTGAGCTGTGGTTGACCACCTAGCAGTTAGTCACAGACTCACAGGCTTTATGATTCACTTCATTTGTCTATATTTGGAGCCACCTGTGCAATGCACTAGTAGCTTGGTGAAACATTTACACCGGTGGGCAGGCAATGTCCAATTCACTGATAAGCAGTTTACCTACCGCAAAAGAAGCAGCATGGCATGAATGGTGAGTACTGACAGGTACAAAAAACGGTAGTACAGGCACATGCACACCAGCAGCTGCCTGCTCACCCATACACTCCGAGCCATCCCTTTCCCGTGCAAGCAGCATCGCTCCCCATCCTCACCAAGCAACATCCCTCCCCATTCTCACCAAGCTCTGCCTGTCCGCCCCGTACTTCTCTCCCCTTGCTGCTCACCCTCCCTCACTCACCTCACTCCCTCCCTCCTCCCCTCACCCACTCACCACTTCACCTCTCCCCCAGCCTCTCCCCCAGCCTCTCCCCCAACCTCTTCCCTAACCTGGTTCCCGCCTATGCCCCCATCGCCAGCTCCCCCATTCCCATCGCCCTTCCCTCCCTCTTTTCCTCCCTCCCAGCATTCCTCCTCTCCTCCCTTGTTTCCCCCTCGGTTCCCCTTGTTTCCCCCTCGGTTCCCCTTGTTTCCTCATCTCACCCTCTCCCACCTTATCGTCCTCCCCCACAACTCCTCCCCCACACCTTCCCCTTCCTCCTCCAACCCGCCTCTCAACGCACCACCCCTTTCTGTCCCCCCTTCACCTCCCTCCACAGCCTCGCCTCCCTCTCTCTCCCCGCCCTCTCCCCCCTCGCCCCCCCTCCTCGCGCGCTGCACTTGACTGTCTCTAGCCATCGTCCCCATCATGTTCGAGCCCCCTTCGCCCCCTTCGCGTCGACTCCGCTCCACGTGGACGTGTCGCTCGCACACGCCCACCTCCGCGTCCCCTCCCACCGCCCCGCACCCGCGCACGTCCACGTGGCGCAGCCCCCGCGCGCGCGCCAGTCCGGCGGGCAGCTCCGCCAGCGCGGAGCACCCGTCCAGCAGCAGCGAGTGCAGCGCGGGGAGGGACGCGAGGTCGGGGGGGAGCGCGGAGAGAGACGCGCAGGACGAGAGCCTGAGCACGCGGAGGGCGGGCAGGCGGGAGAGCGAGGCGGGGAGGCGGGAGAAGGCGCGGCAGTTGCGGACGGACAGGCGCGCGAGGAGAGGCAGCGGGCCGAAGTCGTCGGGGAGGTGCGTGAGCAGCGCGCAGCTTGCGATGTCGAGCGACTCGAGCGCGGAGAGGCGCGGGAGGGACGCGGGGAGGCGGGCGAGCGCGGAGCAGTCTGTAAGAGAGGCGCTTGAGGGCGCGCAGCTGGCCTATGGCGTCGGGGAGGGCGCGCAGGGCGGGGCACTTGGCGAGGGAGAGCGTGTGGAGGCGGGGGAGGGCGCAGAGGGACGCGGGGAGCGCGGCGAGGAGGGGGCATTCGGAGATACGTAGCGCTTCTAGGCGGGTCAGCCCGCTGAGAGTGTCTGGAAGGGACGCGATCGCCGCGCTCGCTATAATCAGCTTTCCTAAGCGGCCCAGCTGGCCAATGGAGTCTGGCAGCGCGGTGAGCGCACCGCACCTGGTGACGCTGAGGCGCGTCAGCGCGCTGAGCCCGCTCATGGCGGCGGGCACGGCAGCAGACTCCGCAGCGCCGAGCGCCGTTTGGCGGCCTAGTGACGCGGGCAGGCTCCGCAGCGCGGGGCAGTTGTCGAACTCCAGCGACTCGAGCGCCGCCAGGTGGCCCAGCGATTCGGGAAGCGCAGCGAGCTCGGACGCGGAGGTTATTTTGAGCGCGCGGAGGGCGGAAAGCACGGAGAGCGCGGGGGGAAGGCAGTTGATGTGCCGCAGGAGGAGGAGCGAGAGGGAGGTGAGCGCGGTGAGGCGGAAGACTTCGGTGGGGACGGAGTAGAGCGCGGGGAGGTCGGTGAGCGTGAGCGCGTGCAAGGATTGCGCACGCGGGGAGGGCGGGGGATAAATGGGTGAAAAAATAGCAGCATTCGAGGGAGAGAGACTACACCAGCGCGAGGCGCGCGACAGGCTGGCGACGTCCATCCGCCTCTGCTCGCGCGCCGTCCCTGATCAGCGAAGCAAGACCCGACACGTTCTTCAGCACCACGTGCGCCAATCGCAGCAGAGCCAGCAGTGTGGGCGGCAGTCCTCTCATCGACTTGCTCGGCGCCAGCACCAACCGCTCCAGTGACGTCAGCGTCGCGATCGACGCGGGCAGCTCGGCAATCGGCGTGTCGACGATCTCGACCTCGCGGAGCGCTGGCGCCGCGCCGATGTCGTCGGGGAGCGCGCGGAGGCTGCGGCAGTGGCGGATGGTGAGGGACTCGAGGGAGATGGGCGGAAAGCGGCCCCAACCCCGGCTGACGTTCTCCAGGCGCAACTCCTCCAGCTTGCGCCACTCCTCCCCCACGTCGGGCAACGCGCAACTGATGTTGCGCAGGACCAGGCGGCACAGCTCCTTGAGCGCGCCGACGCTCTCCGGAATGCCCTCCAGGCGGAACCACCCGTGGATTTCCAGCGCCGTCAGTGCGCTCAGCGCGCCGAGCTGCGCGGGCAGCCGGTGCATCACGCGGCAGTCTGTTAGGCAGAGGCGGGACAGCCGCGTGAGCTGCGTGACGGACGCGGGGAGGCACCGCAGCTCGGGGCAGCTGACGCGGAGCTCCTCCAGCGCGCGCAGCGCGCCGAACTCGTCGGGAAGAACGGTAAGGAGCGCCAAGCTGAGGTTGAGCACGCGAAGTGACAAGAGCGATGCGAGCGAGGAAGGAAGCTTTGTTATGTTGCCGAGGCTGTGGTCGAGAGTGAGCTCCTCGAGGCGCGAAGCGCGGAGGAAGAAGCGGCCGAGGCACGGGGGCGTGATGCGGAAGTGCGGCACCCCGGTGTACCGCGGCTCGTCCAGGCGCAGGCGGGAGAGCTGCGGGCAGGCGGAGGGCAGCGCCGTCAGGAAGTCGTCGTTCAGAAAATCGACACTCCTGTAGGCTAGTGTGAGCGAGGTCACGTTGGGAAATTTCGACAACCCGTGCAGCAGCTCGCCTGCGTGGAGGTTGCGCTCGGCGCTGACGTGGACGGCTTGCTGCGCGTTTTGCGCAAGGAGCAGCCACCGGCGGCACACGAGCGCGTGGTGCATCGCATCGCTGGAAGAGGCTCACTCGAGAATTGCTGAGACTACGTCGTCGGGCAAACCGTTGATGATATCCTCGCCCGGCTGGAGCGTGCCTTTCATTGGCTCCAGATCTCGCGGCTCTTCTGTCACGTGGGCATCAGGCGATGTGGTCGTTGCATCCATGGCTTCTGCGTAAAGAACTGTTTCGCGCGATGTGGGGCTGTTGCAGACAATGGAAGGTATGCCTACGGTCTGGGATGAGGAGTAGTAGGAAGCACAAGAAAAAATTGTGCACGGACAGTATGGGGGAGAGGTGATGGATGGGAGTGGAAGAGACGAATGAAGCAGATGGGCAAGGCAGTCCGAGCGTGCACTCCGTACGGGCAGTCCGTGCGTGGAGTCCGTCCGTGGGCAGGTTTCCCACATCCAAGATTTGTGTCAGAACGAGCCGCGTTTACCACGCGATTCGAACAGTCTGACACCTAGGTTCTGTACAGCATGAAATCACAACACGAAATTGCGGTTACAGAGTTGGTGAAGAAACGGGTGATACTGTATATGATATGAACTTGTGAAACTGGAATCTCAGGTTTCTGGCACACTTAACATTGTTAACGAGTGCTGATGTATCGAAGATATCTTTTGCACTCCTCTCACCGCGACTCCGGTAGGAGTATCCGAAACATCCTTGACCCCGTACCGTACCCAACCTCTCAGAAAATCGTTCAACTGCAAGCTCACTGAGCTGGGTTCACAACAACTCTTGGGAGTGCCGCATGACTTGTTCGAGCCTTGGGATTAGCGGATTAGAAAAGGTAAGCTCAACAGCCCAGGAAAGCAGCGGAATGCCGAGTAACGCTGTGGAAGCATGCAGTTTATGTACGCCTAGATCTCCAGCTGTTCGCTCTCGGCTCCACGCGCGTCCTAGATTTACCCGTCATGGGAGACGATGAGGACTCGCCTCTCCATCCTTCCCTTAAGACTTCTCTCAAGCAGCGGCCATCAGGGCAGACGACGTCGCACGCGACGTCGCTGGCGACGATTCTGTCTCACGGCAGCGACGCTGCGAAACCCGTCGCGAGCGTGGCTTCGAATAGGAGCCGCGTCTCCGCCGTCCGATGAGGATCTGGACCGTCTGAATAGCTCCGGTAATTCGACACGCCAGCACGAGGCGAATGAGATGCCCACGTGGCTGACGCTGTCTGACGTCAGCGCGATAAGCTCAGGAGCCGAGAACGAGCCAGGGGGCCGCGAGGCGTGGGATGTAACGCATCACCTACCTACCCTAGCGACTATTCTAGCTAAGGCTCTCTAAAGCGCTACCTACGCAAGGTAGCGACTTACGGGAAGAAAGGGTTGGAAGGGATGATTGTTGATTGGTCCACAATTGTGAATCACCATCCACTAAAAGACAAACTAGGTTGGGAACCAACCCAACCTTTGCATTGGTGGACATTCAAACCAATAACATTTCAATGCTGCTGTTACAAGTTACAACAGGCAACCAGACATTTCTTATCATAAATAAGTTGCTCTCATTGGTTGCAAATCCAACCAACATGCCACCTAAGCAAACTCACCTTAAGGAGCTCCTTACCCTTGTTGCCATGGAGGAGGTGGAGCTCCCCAAGGGGTATTGAGGAAGGGGTTTGGAGCTCCAAGGCGCATTCTCTCATTCCCAACTCCAATTGATCAATTTTTGGAAATGGGATTTCTCTAAGTACAGAACTTTTCCCTCACAAGTGCTCTAAGTTCCAACTGTCCCTTTGGTGGAAGCTACTCTATCACCCTCCAAGCTTCAACTACCAAGTCTAGAAGACTCAAAGCTATCTTAGGAGCTAGTTTACCTTGTGTGTTTTATTGTTGGCGTTTTTATAAGCCTACTAGTGAACTGGTGGACACCCCCGTCCTGGAGCGCACATCCTGCCACCAAGTTCGTAGAGAACGAGGGGAGGTGGAGAACTCACAGTGTGCCCGACGGGACCGCAGGACAGGGAAGGACAGTGGAAGAGGTCGCAATGACCGGACCCCCAGAGGGGTCAGCAAGGGAGACAGCAACTGGCCGAGCAAGCGGCTCAAGGGCAGTGCGGTCACGAAAGAAGCAGCGAGAAGCACCTGAGTCCAGTGTGAAGGTGTGCAGTGCTGGAGTCGACTCAGTACCAAGGGGGGCAGACACACAAGCACCTAGAGCAGCTGCCTCACCAGCACCTGGGGTAGCCGACACGCGAGTACCTGGAGCGGCAGACGCACTAGCCCTAATGCCCGGGTCGGGCGGCACACACAAGTACTCAGCACCCTCTCCACTAGTAGACATCACATACATAGCAGATAGAATAGCATCAAAGTCTAGAGCATAGATATCAATCCCCTTCTTCAGGAGATCAATCCAGCGGGGCAGCTCAGTGGCCTGAGGGAACTGAACACGCCAAGCGTCGTCGAGACGAGCGAAGCAGCGCTGTGTGGCGTGCAGCCGTCCACACTGTTGACCAGTGCGGTCACCAGTGCGAATGACGTACATGCAGCTAAGGCCACCCCCACCCCCGTGCAGAGAGTACCACTCACGGACCTCCTGGGGCGAAGGAGTGTGCTGATGGCCCTGGCCACCGCCAGCGCCTCCACGACCACCACCACCGCCGCCACCTCCTCGACCACCCCAACCCCTGCCGCCGCCTCGTCCACCGTCACCCCAACCACCGCCTCCGCCCCTGCCACCTCCCCCGCCGCTGCCGCCACCACCCCCACCGCTGCCACTAGTCCCTCGAGTCGTGCCACCACCCCCGTCGCCTCCACCGCCCCCACCGCCGCCTCCCCCGCCGTCACCACCACCACCCTTGCCCCCTTTGCCCTTGCCGCTGCGGCGCCCGCTCGAAGCAGACGCAGTGCCGACCTTCTCAGCACCAAGAAGGTCGACAGCAGCAGCAGAGGCGACAGAGGGAAGAAGGGGGGAAGGAGAACACCCCTCAAAGAACGGGGTACGGGGGTCGCCACGAGAGGCACCTACAGCGACTATGCTAGTCTCAGCTGCAAGCAGTTCCTTCTCGAGGAGGGCAATGGTGAGATCAGTGGGGCAGCGAGCTAGGAAGTGGTCCCTAACAGCACGAAGTGTGTCAGGGAGGCGGGTGACTAGGTGGTAGAGAGTGAGCCAGAGTGGAGGGGGGTGCGTGGCAAGGAACTCAGCGGGCATGGCGGCACGGAAGCGGGCCTCACTAGTACGGAGGTGCGTGATGAGGTCAGCGACTGTGTGGAAAGAGGCCAGGTCGGGAAACAGGTAGGGGAGGGAGAGATGGCCTAGTGCGGCAGAGGCAGGTGAGGAGTAGCGAGCAACTACAGCTGTGTACAGTGCCTGTGCAGTCTTGTGCTGGCCAAAGTGCTCGCGTTCGTCTATCGGCAGGGAGTTGCGAATAGCGAAGCGAGCGTGGGCATCACGAGTCTGCCACTGTGAGCGAGCAGTGCTGTCAGCAGTAGCAGCAGGGGCAGTGACATGGCCTAGGGCGTGATCGTACAGTGAGATGTCATCCTTGGCTGTGAGCTGTAGGTAGAGGTGCAGGTCATCTAGCCAGGTGTCAAACTTCACTGGGCGGCCCTCAGCATCAAAAGCTAGAACCTGTGGGCTAGCCATAGGAGCAGTAGAAGAAGCAGCAGTAGCAATAGAAGAAGCAGTTACGGCGGCTCAGTTCGGGCAGGGAGGCGCGGCTCGGGTGGGGCGGCTCGGTTCGGGTCGAGTCGCGCGGCTCGGCTGGGTTCGCGCGGCTCGGCTCGGGTCGCGCGGCTCGGTTTGGTCGCGCGGCTCGGTTCGGTACCTGGCCGCTCGGGGCCTTTAGGGACGGCGGGCACGAGGCCTAACGGGGCCTATAAGGGGCCGACGGGGCCATTTGGGGCCGTTAAGGAGGTAAGGACGGGGCTGTTTGGGGCCTTAAGGAGGTAAGCGCGGGGCCGTTCGGGGCCTTAACAGGGCCGATTAGGGGTCGACGGGGCCGCTAGGACGGTGAGCGCGAGGCCTTATGGGGCCACTAGGGGCCGACGGGGAGGTAAGCGCGGGGCCGTTAGGGGCCTTAACGGGGCCTATTAGGGGTCGACGGGGCCGCTAGGACGGTGGGCGCGGGGCCTAACGGGGCCACTAGGGGCCGACGGGGCCGTTCTGGGCCGCTAGAGAGGTAAGCGCGGGGCCGTCAAGGGGGCCTCTAGGGGTCGACGGGGCCGTACTAGGCCTCTAGGGAGGTAAGCGCGTGGGCCGTGTGGGGCCTCTAGAGGCGGGCCGTCGGTGCCTTAGGTGGCCGTGAAAAACCGAGGCGCCCTAGGTAGATAGGTAGGTAGGCAGGTAGGTAGGTAGTTAGGTAGTGGTGGGCCCTTAAAAATTCGGTCCTAGGAAGGACCTGCTCTATACCATGTTGAATAACTGAACAGGAATGAATGAACTACGAGTGAAAACAGTACAAATACCTAACCCTAGAATTGTGTACCCCCTACAGGCTAACCCACTGTAGCCTAAACAAGTACAACAACATATATAATGTTTGACACCAGGAGCTTGCCTGGTCCAGGAGCTTGCCTGGTCCAGAAGCTGGCCTGGTCCACGAGCTTGCCTGGTCCAGGAGCTTGCCCGGTCCAGGAGCTTGCCTGGTCCAAGAGCATGCCTGGTCCAAGAGCTTGCGTGGTCCAGGAGCTTGCCTGGTCCAGGAGCTTGCCTGGTCCAGGAGCGTGCCTGGTCCACGAGCTTGCCTGGTCCAGGAGCTTGCCTGGTCCGGGACCTTGCCTGGTCTAGGAGCTTGCCTGGTCCAGGAGTGTGCCTGGTCTAGGAGCTTGCCTGATCCAGGAGCTTGCCTAGTCCAGAAGCTTGCCTGGTCCAGGAGCTTGCCAGGTCCAGGAGCTTGCCTGGTCCAGAAGCTGGCCTGGTCCACGAGCTTGCCTGGTCCAGGAGCTTGCCCGGTCCAGGAGCTTGCCTGGTCCAAGAGCATGCCTGGTCCAAGAGCTTGCGTGGTCCAGGAGCTTGCCTGGTCCTAGAGCTTGCCTGGTCCAGGAGCGTG